CGCTCTTGTTACCCAGGCTGGAGTGCAATGGCGCGATCTCTGCTCACTGCAACCTCCGCCTCCTGGGCTCAGGCAATTCTCCTGCCTCAGCCTCCTGAGTAGCTGGGATTACAGGCACACGCCACCATGCCCAGCTAACTTTTTGTAGTTTTAGTAGAGACGGGGTTTCACCATGTTGACCGGGATGGTCTCAATCTCTTGACCTCGTGATCCACCCGCCTCGGCCTCCCAAACCGGCCGGTTTCTATTTTATCTTTGATTTGGGAGGGGAGAGCATTTGCCGCAAGTCAGGTGGAGGCAGCTGGAGTCGTGAGGACAGAGGGAGACAAGACTGAAGGACAACGCTCGGGCTCCACCAGGTTGTGACTTGTTATGCCTCAAGACAAAATGGATTTCAAGCAAATATGGCCACATGTTAAGGCTTCACAAGGCTGGGAAGTGGGAGCGTTGGAGCGTTATATTATTTTCTATAATTTTCTGGATGCTTGAAATATTTTACAAATTGTAAGCACACAGCTTAGACAACGGGAGGGAAGAACCGTGTGTCGGCACCTAGACTTGTGAACGGTGGCTCTCCTGCATCCTCCTCCCCGTTCCAAGAGGAGGCACGAGAGGCCAGTGATGATGTGACACTAAAAGTCCCCCGGCCCCTCTCAGGTCTCCGTTTTCCTTCCCCTTCCTTCAGTTTCAAAGAGGCATTTTCATCTCCTGGCTGAGCGGGGAATGAGTGCAGGAACCATGCATCCCAGCTGAGACACTGGCAGCCGGACACTCAACCCAAAGGTGGTCAGAACCTTTCCCCGGGAAATTCAGACCTGGATGGCAGGAGACCTAGACAGCAGGCAAGGGGACAGAGAGGGAGCAGGCGCCAGCATGCCGACTGTGCTGGGGTCACGTTCAGTGTGGCCAGATGTCATGGAAGGTCGGAGGCTTCTGCTCCTGGGGTCTGGGGCTGCCCTGACCCCTGCCCTTCATCCCTCCTGGGGATCCAGGAGAGCCCCTCCTTGCAAGGGCCTCCTCTCCCCTCACTTTCCACGCTGCGCTGGTGCCACAGGGAGTCTGTTTCTTGCAAGTCAAGGCCCCCGGCCAAGTCTGACATTGACAATAAGCAGGACTAGTGGAGGCAGTGCCGTGTCGCCTTTCCCAGCTCGGGCCTGGCCCATGTTGGGAGGGCTGCAAGGGAACACTCCTGGGAAGGATGGCGCTGGCTCTCATGAGAGGTCCGTGCAACCCAAGTGGAGTGGGGAGAACGTGGGGAGATAAGAAATGAGGAAGGCCAGCCCCTCTGCTCATACTTATAACCCCAACACTTTGGGAGGCTGGGATTACAGGTGGAGCCCTTGAGCCTAGGAGTTCAAGACCCACCTGGGCAAGTGAAACCTCATCCTTACAATAAAAAATTCAAAAGAGAAACACAGGAGGAGAAGGGCTGGCGTCTGAGTGCTCCTGAAGAAGGAAGGATTCATCCCTGGGGAGGAGGAACCAGGGCCTCTGTGAATCTCAGGGGTGGCGGGTTCTCGGGAAGGGAGACCAGGACCAGTGTCCTCCCTCCACCAATGACAGACCAAGAGAGTGTCTTGTCAGATGGTGGCTGGAAAGGAGGAAGGTGGCAGTGTGGCTTTGGGAACTGTCTGTCAGGGAGACTGGGAGGAGCCAGCCACAGGAAGGGTCAAACTCAAGTGCTCCTGCCACTTGGAAACGAGGGCCAGGGCTGGTCTGGGGCCTTTTTATTCTGGGTGAAGCTGGCAGTAGCCCAGGATGGTACGGATAAGCTCCTAGCACTCCTCCCGACTACAGTGTCAGATTTGAGTCAGCTTAGTGGCGCTGGGTCCAACGCCAGGTGGGAGGTTGCACTATGACTCAGTGGCCAATTAAATGCCTCCAGTCTGGGTTTAGTGCAAGGATTTCACACACCAGCCACCATTGCAAGTACACTGAGCACACGCGGGCGCGTGGCCCGGGAGTCGAGTGTGCTGACCGACGAGCCAGGCACGTTCGAACGTCCCTCGGAAGTCAGTTCCCCTGAAGTCAGTTCCTCTGCCATGTCTCGGGCCTCCGCAGGGACGTCCGTGGCCATTTCTCCTGCCTCTCGCTTCACTTTCCTGTTGGGTCTTGGGGGTGTCTTCCCACAGCAGACGTCATCTTGTCACCCCAGTCCGGCATACATCTGTTTATCACTTTGAAGGGTCAGCAGTTTCACTGTGGGCTGAGTCACTTGTCATAAGTGACTCCGTTTAGAGATATTTAGGATTGCAAAAACACTGTGCTATATCACCGCCTGCCCCTCAAACCAGAGTGGCTTTGATCACAGGAATACATTTTCCTGGGAACCAGACTGCTTTTTCCTCAGCAGCTCTGGAGCAGAGTGGGGGCCCTCGGTCGATATCCGAATCCGGGTTGCAGCGGCTGCATCTTAGCGTTTGGCCCTCACCTCCCACCGAGACCGCGTTAGTGGGATTGACAGCAGATTCTTACCCCAAGGCCCATGCACGGGTTGGTTCTCAGCAAAGGTTGGTGGAACCGGATAGAGTAGCAAGAGCCGCTGACACCCAAGAATCACTGGAAGAACCGAACATAATCCCCGACGCCCAGGCCCCAACCCAGAGCAAACAGAGGGACCCTCGGGGTGGCCTGGGCACCGGGAGCTAAAGCCTGGATGAGAAGACCTGGGTTTGGGCTCAGCGTTTACAGGCATTTGTTGTATAAACTGAGGCCTGTCTGTAAGGAGGAGGACTGGGAGCAGCCGGAGGGCCGAGTTCCCGTGCCTGTCCCTCTTCCCGAAGCCGAGCCGGCAGCCGGCGGGATGAGTGTGCGGCTTCCTCCAGCTCTCCTGGGAGCGCGGCCCTATTCTTAGCCCCGAGTTTGCTTACTAGGAAAGAACGCGGGGGGAGAAAGTTCCAGCTTTGGACGCCAGCCCCACGTTGGGTCTGCAGTGTTGATGATATGCTGTTTCCTTTTCAGAGGCCGCCCCAACGCCTTGCACCCCGTCCCCTGCCCCCATGCTTTGTGGTGGTTTCAGCTAGGGAGCACCCGGACTGTGCCCCCATCTGCCTTTCGACTCCCTTTTCCTCTGAGCCCCGAGGGGCCCCTGGCAGTTCTCAGCTGTGGCCCTGAACCCTCCAGGGCACAGGGTATGTGCTGGGGAGGTTCAAGGGCATCTGCCTTTTCAGGAGGTGAGAGCTGAGGGCAGGCCCATCCCAATGGCTCCATAAAGCAACTCTGGGCTGCTTCTATGGGTACAGGGAGGTCAGTCCATCCTGGAGAGGAAGAAAATGCTACAGGATGGTATAATTCTTTCCTCGTTAGTGATACTAACCCCTAAAGCAGCTCATTAGATGCCAGTTCAACCTCTGGGCTGCTTCTTTCTGCCCCCTGGCACTCTAGGGACCAGACAGTATCCTGCTCTGGTAGTCGGCCATCCTGGGTTGGGGGGCTGCCCATGACGCTCAGGAAACGGGCACTAGTCAGGCTTGGAGGATTTCAGGGCTCTGGGGAGACAGAAGGTCCCAGGCTGCCCCGACTGTATGTTCCCCTTGAGGGGCACCCAGTGAGGTTGTGAATCCTACCTGCACTTCAGCCCCTGGAGCCAAAGATCTCTGAGCACTTTGCAAGGATTCTTTTTAATTAGGTCCCTCCCACACAGAGAAGAGAGAGAGAATAGTTTGTTCCAGAATGCGAGCACTACCTGGAGAGATTATTTCTAGCCACAGACCAAAGGCACGGAGAGAAATAAAACCAGAGAATTTTTAGCTTAGAAGAGACCGTGGAGATTCGCCCGAGCACATGTCCCACATGTGGAGGCGGACACCAGAGCGATGTGGTGGCTTGCGCAAGGCTACCCAGCAAATGCCTGCTGGAGCTCCTGCCCAGGAATATCTTTCGTTGCCCCAGAATCCAGCATTTGAATTCCTAGCCGAGGGTTTCTTCTGTTGAGTGAAGGTTTATTTTTCTCCATCCTCAGCCCATCTCCCCATCCTCCTCTTTGATCTTTTAGCAAAGGGTGCCTGAGCCAGTCCTTCCCTGGGTATTTACTAAGCCCCTATGTTGTTGGTGGCCAGCTGGGAGTCCCAGGCAGGTGGGGTGCGTGACAGCTGGAGAAGACGGGGCCTCAGCCCCTCTGGGAGGCAGAGTGCTTGCCACGGGAGCCAGGAATGTGGATGGGTTGACTTTTAAAAATTATTTTTAAATGATTCTTATTTTTAAGACTGGGTCTCACACACTCTGTTGCCCAGGCTAGAATGCAATGGTGTGATCACAGCTCATTACAGCCTCAACATCCCGGGTTCAAATGATATCTCCCACCCCAGCCTCCTGAGTAGCTGGAATGACAGGTGCATGCCACCACACCTGGCTAATTTTTTGTATTTTTGGTAGAGAAGGAGTTTTTCCATGTCGTCCAGGCTGGTGTCAAACTGCTGGACTCAAGCAGTCCTCCCACCTAGGCCACCCAAAGTGCTGGGGTGCGAGGCATGAGCCACTGTGCCGGGCTGGCCTTTTACAAAATTATAGTAAGACGCACATAACATAAAATGTGCTGCTGTAACCACTTTTAAGTACACAGTTCAGTGGCAAAGCACATTCACATTATTGTGCAACCATCACTGCCATCCACCTCCAGATCTCTTCTTGCAAAACTGAAGCTCTGCACCCGTGAAACACCAATTTCCTATTCCTCCTGGGAGAGGGTAGCTTTTTTGGATGGATTAATTTGTGCACAGTGCAAGCGCCGACTCTAACCAGGCGACCTGCAGAAATGCTCCATTCCCCTGGACCACCCTACCCCTACCCCTTTCATCTTGTGATTTAGACTCCTATTCACCTGGCCTGGGGACACTCAGCAATACGTTCTAACCAGCCAGTTTGGCAGTTCCACTCAATCTTCCCTGTCCTTCCCAAGCACCGGCTATTGGCTGTGGGCAGACAGAGGGGTACACAGCAGATACGTTTCAAGTTCCTTCTGCCTCTGAGGTCCTCCCCCGGCACCCCCCATCTGTGGGGGCTGCCAAACTGTCCTCTGGACCCCACCCTGGACTGAGAGTCCAAGAGGAATGAGGACTTGGCCTCAGAGGTGCGGAAATGTCTGGACAGGAAGGAGCGTTTCGCAGACTCAGCAGGAGTCGTGGAAATGTACAGCCCAGCCTCCCGGGCACCTTTGGTTGAAGGTTGTCAGGGGACAGCGTTTTCAATTCATGTCACTGCTCCAGCCAATCACTTAGCGTAAAATTGCCCATAAAAGTAAACTTAAATGACAAGTGATAAAACCACAGCCTCCTCACCCGACAGCTGACCTCTCTGCTCTCCAGGGGGCAAAGCTCAGGTTTCTTCTGACGAGAGTGATGAGGCTGCTGCAGACACCTCCAGGGACGTCCTGCCCGTCAGTGGAAAATCCTTGTTTTCCAGGGCTGGGGTCCGGTGGGCTTCTCCTTAACTCCTCCTGGTAAGGGATGCTGCTGCCGCTGGGCCGATTCGTCTCCCCCCTCTCCTTTCCGCTGTGATGTCCTTCGAGCAGTGTGGAGGGCCACTGGGCTCGGGTCCAGACCTATAGGCCAGTGACCAAGGCACCTGCACCCTCGATTCCGTCACTCACCTACATTCTCTCTCCAGAGAGGCTTTTCTTGGCTAGCTGTTAAACATTTAAACCACTTCCTCCTGAGGGGCTCATCTCATTCACCACTTTGTGTATTCCTTCATGAACACAGCACACCTTGATTGGGTCAGGTCCTGTCCCTGGTCCTGATTTTTTTTTTTTTTTTTTTTTTTGAGATAGAGTCTCACTTTGTTGCCAGGGCTGGAGTGCAGTGGTGAGATCTTGGCTCACTGCAACCTCCGCCTCCCGGGTTCAAGTGATTCTCCTGCCTTAGCCTCCTGAGTAACTGGGATTACAGGCGCGCACCGCCACACCTGGCTAATTTTTGTATTTTTGGTAGAGACGAGGTTTCACCATCTTGGCCAGGCTGGTCTTGAACTTCTAACCTCGTGATCCACCCGCCTTGGCCTCCCAAAGTTCTGGGATGACAGGCGTGAACCACCATGCCCAGCCCTGGTCCTGAATTTTAAAGACGACCTGACCCTGCCCTCAAAGGGGCCTCCAGGTGGGAAGAGGTGACTTGGGACATTCACTAGGTGTGTCCCAGGTGTGGAGGGAGCATAGTGGGAGGGGTGTCTCAGGCAAGGCTTCCTGGAGGAGGCGATGTTTGAGTTAAGCATGCAGAGGTGAGAGGAGTCTTCCAAGCCCAGGGAATAGTTTCTGTGAAGCAGGGGGTCGTCGCAAGAGAACCTTGGTCAGATCAGAGGGGAGGGTTTGGCTGGGACCACTTTGAAATTTCTGTGGCACCTGGCCTCACGTGTGACAGGTACAGGAAGTGTGTGGTCTCACTTAGTCGCGTGCTGGCGACAGCCAGTGTCTTACTGTAGATTCCTTCTCCCCCATCCCTTTACGTTCCCCCTTTTTTTCTGGTTTAGTCAAGACTTTGACTTCACATTGAGCAGGGGTGTGTACGGGGGATGCCATTGCCCAGAAAGATGCCCCTGCTCCTGCCCGGCTCTGGATCTGGGTGCTAAGGTTTAGGGTTGGTGCTAATGGGGTGAAGCCTAACTGCCCGCCTGGTCCCTGCACAAGGTGGGACTCAGCGGGGGTCCACCTTCTGCCCACTCCCATGCTCCCTCCACGCACACCCAGTGAGCCTGTGCTGGAGAGGCTGCTGCAGACCCTGAGGGGCACAGGGCGTGGCGCAGTTGCTCCCACAGGGGTTAGGTGGGGAAGTGCCCTTGAAATCCTGGCTCAGAGGCAGTGGGAAGCCTCGGAAAGGGTCAAGACCCCGGGGAGACGTGACCAAGTTTCCACTGTAGAAAGACTCTGATCCCAGCTCTTCTCCTTCCTGGTGTGTGACCTTGGGTAAGTTACTCAGCCTCTCTGTTTCCTAACAGAGATGCGAATGGGTCTGATCTGGTAGTTGCCAAGATGAAAGGAGTTGACGAATTAATAAGTTGAAAGCACATAGAATGATACCTGTGTCCAAAATGGTAGCCTTGAAGATGGCGAGGATGATGGATTCACCTTAGAACAGCAGCGTGGAGGTCTCCCAGGAGAGGGCTGTGACATGCTATAACCCCTCTGTCCTCAGTGGCCCTGGTGTCTGGGGCTAGGGTCAGGGTGTGGTCAGTGATGAGGCGACAAAAGGAAGCTCCCGGGACAGATAGAGAAGATGCTGCTTTGAGACAACCCGAGGTCCATAGGGAAGGCAGCCAGGTTCCTAGTGCAGGCAGCCGCTTCTAGACCCACCTACGGTTTGTATTCTCAGGATTGTCTTAATTTTACTAGACCCAGATTCCATGTGGGAGGAGCAGCCACCCCCTTCCTGGTTTCTGCAAGGAAGGGGATAGAGGGAGCATCTTTGTGTCCTTTGGTGTGTGGTTCTCAATTGGGTCGGGGAGGTGAGGAAGAGAGGACTTCTGGGGCCCCAGGGCAAAAAAGTGAAGCTTCTTTCTGGGGCATCTGTTTTACTGGAAGCGTTTTGGGAGTGAGAAAGTCCATCCTTCAAAGAAAACAACGGGGTAGAATGCAGAATGTGTTGGACACTTAAACGTACCACCAAATATTTCATGAAGTCTCCAGGTTGTGGGAGCTGCTCCCTGGGAAGGCCCCAGACCCCTGGGGTCTGTGCTCCTTCTCCTTTGCTTTCTGGGTATTTCCACAAAAAAGCTGAAGAGGCAGGCTCTGCTTTAGAAGCCCTGGATCAGAGTCCCGTGTGACGTGCTGTCTGGGTTGGAAAGGAAGGTTAGAGGGATGGGGGAGGAGCCCTTGGCCATTCTTAAGGTTGTAAACAAGAAATGGGGGAGGAAACGGTTATTAGGTTTTTGAACCCCCCCTCACACTTAGCAGCAAAGGTTCTGTCATGGCGGGGAAGCTAGTGGGGGAACAGCTCAGGAGGCTGGTGGGGGCAGCAGCTGGAGTGGGGGCAAGGCCCAGAGAAAGCCCCTCCCCTCTTGCCGCCCTTCTCTGCAGGGCAAGGCCGACCTCTCATGGCTTAGTCCCTGTGCTGGCCGCTTCTCCCCACCTCTTTCCATCACAGCGCTGCCGGCAGGTGACCAGAAACGTCATTGACAGGGCACCACTTTGGACGGTGTGCTAACGGGGCGGGGTGCACGGTCCCCTCCCTGAGCTTTTGAGCAGGCACAAAGTGAGCATGAGCCTTTTGGGCCAGTACTTTTCCACCTGGCCTGAATGGCTTCAAGGAGCGCAGACACAGCCGAGGAAACTGATCAATCCTGGCCCCTTGCCGTTAATGAGCAGGTGACCTTGTCAAAGCTCATCACCTCCCCAGCCTGACTCTGCTTATCACGTGGGTCCCCGAAGGTGTTCCTTAGTAGGAGGTGTCTTGGGCCTCTTGCAGAGCTGGCAGCTGAACCCCAAATCCTGGGGAGGTGGGTTTCCCCAGGAGATGGGGCCCCATGGCCTGGCTGCTTCACCATCTGGGTTGGGAGCAAAGGATGGTCACATCCAGTCCCATGAGGTGTCGTGCCCACCAAGAGCTGTTGAGAGAGGAAGAGGAAGACAGGGCATGTGGCCTTCTCTGCTTGGGCAACCCCCTCTGCCCTCCCTCCACCGATGGGCCCCTCCTCAGTACGCCTCCCCTGGCCCTCAGCACATGCTGTTCAGATCTCTGCTCCAGCATCCCCAGGTGCGCACGCCTCACATGGCTCGTGCTCCTGGGGCTGGGGCCACGTTCCACATTGTCTCTGATGTGGGCACAGGGCCTGGCACCCAACATGCGCTCAAGAAACATTTGTTCAAGAGAATTATCCTGAGGACACGGTGGGGAGGGGGTATTTGGGGAGCTGGCACCTGGCCGGGTTCTGCAAGCATACTGAGCCCCCGGCTGTCGTCCTCTGGTGGAGTGGGGAAGGGAACGTGGAAGGGCCATCTCTGCAGAGGAAGGCGTGTCCCCCCGACTCAGGGGCTCAGCACAGACCTAACTGAACGAACAAGAGAGCGAATGCCTTGTCATCCCCTGCAGGGGAGAAGCCGAGGTTGTGGAGTTGGAATAAACAGGGTCTCCTGGTGGGAGGAGCTGGCTTGTGTGGATGCTGGCAGGGGGTTTGTGGGGA